CTTTGAGATGTTTTCTTGGATTCGGGGGGTAGATTATGAAAAGGGAAGGTGCAAGAACCCTTTTCATCCATGGTTATCCATGGGCTCTTAGTTACTTGTTTAGATCACTTGCTTTTGCTTTTCAATTGTTTGAAATGATGCTTTGTGTGTGGTTTGAAATTTTTTTTTGAAAAGAGGCAATCGTTGTGGCAACCTTTGTAATGATTCTTGTTTGAATATATACAAAGGTGTTTGTCTTTTGAAAATATATTTCAATGTTTGAAAGTTTGTTTTGGGAAATGTTATGAATTTGTGTTGTGATGTGTGTTTGAAAATAGCAAGGATGTTTACAAGTTTGATCAAGTAACTAAGAGTTGTCTACCCTATCTACTTAAGGATCTTTCCTACACATTTTTAACCCTTTTGACAGTGTTGTTTTACCATTGCATTTGGTAAACAACCTTGTATTTGGATGTTAAATGGGACAGGCGCGGGTCATCATATTGACCATGATAGCAATTGTGCTAAGTATCTTTAGAAAATTTTTGAGGGACTAGATCATTTTTGTTTAGGCAACCAAGATAGCGTCATCGAGGGACCATGATCTTTTGTTTTGATTTTTGTTTTGCCAAGATACTCAACATGCATAACATGGCCATTTTAAAGGCAACAAGTGGATGAAACCCTACGGGTGTATGTGTGTATTGTGTTGTCAATTACATGCTTTTATGTCTTGTATTAGGTCTAACTATTTGTTTTGATTTTGAATATTGCATACAAACCCTAATCTCTATCATGGCATATTTGAAAGTAATAAATGCGTAAAAGTAAATCTACAACTATTACAACATTGATATAGGGAGGGGGATACAATTTTGAATGGGGAGTATTTGCAAGAAAATAAAACCCTAAGATTTACTATTACATCTAAATTGAACTCTTTGCATCAAATAATAAATAAACAATATTTAAATAAGTAATTTAAATATAAATATGCAAAATATTATAAGTATGCAAAAAAAATGTTTTTGTTTATTTTTATGTATTTGAAAATATAATATTTAATGTATTAAAAAAAATAGAAAAAAAAGATTATTTTTGTCAAGGGTAAAAACCCTAATTTTCTTTAAGAAAGTATATATATTAATTATATTGTTTATGTACAATAAAATAAAATAATGAAATATATACAAAATGTCAAAAAAATGAAAATATATTAGAAAAATATTATTTAAGTATGTAAATAATAAAAATAAAAATATAATATTTTTATGTATTATTTTCTTGTTTTTATTAAAGAAAATAAAAATATGTTATTTAATAATTTTTTTATGTTAGAAAAAATAATACAAAATACAAAATAAAATGTGAAAATTTATGAAAACATTTTTAGTAATTTTTTATGTTTAGAAAAAAAAATAAAACAAAATCAGAAATGAAAAATAAATAGAAAAATATAAAAATATAATGAAATGGGCCAGGGGGTGCAATCAGCAAGTCAGGGGCGCAAAAAGCAGGGAAAAGGCAGGCCCAGCCCAACACTTCATCTTCAACCTTCGTTCAAACACAAAAAACGCACGTCTGTGTACAAAATCTAGAAATCCTGCATACGTGCTCTAAAGCAAAAACTCATAACACCAAAGTCATAGCATTTTTCAAGACGATTCCAACCATATAAAAAACTTGATCTAACTCTCAAAGACCAGAGAGAATTTCTCTGACCCTAATTTTTAACCTAACTTTTTCAGGAAGTTCGTCAATCAAATTCTCTCAACACACTTAACTTAAATGAAATCTATGCATATGTACAGCTTAAGAGCTATGAGTACTACATTTTTTATTCACAAACCTAAGCCTAATGATTCCTAAATAGAGAGATAGGAAGTTGAAAAATACCTGTTTCAGTTGAACACGAGTAGGTCAATGTGGAGCTTTTCAGTGAGGCCTGAGATGTTTGGGAGCTTGCTTGAACTTCCTCTGACCTTCCCCAATGCTTAGTTTGCTTTGGATTTGCTTGAACAAGCTTGTAGAAGTCAACCTGCAAAAGCTGAAAACAGAAATGGTGAAGCTTGCAAATGGAGTTACAGTCAATGGCCAATGGTTGGGATAGCTCAGGTGGGTTATATGGAATGTATTTGAACAGGTTTGGGGCAAAACGCACGAGTAGTTTTGGTTATAGAACTCAAAGTGCAGAAACTGCCCTGTTTTGCAAGAGGAAGGTGATTTTGTGTTTTGGGAGGCTTGAGGGTTCAATAACTCGTGTTTCTGGCTCAGTGCAAAGTGCAAAACTTGTTTCAAATGCTTGCAAGAGTTGGTTATAACAGATACTCAAGTTTTGTCTCTTTGGCAAGTTTACTTGTATTTTAAGCAAAAGTAAGAAATGATACAAGACTGGCCTGTACAGGCTATCTTTCATCATGCACTTGGTGATCTTGGCCCCCTCAGTTTGTGGATATTTTTTGCTGTCTAAGATTTGGTTCAAGGCTCAAGAGATGCAATTTGACATAAAGCAAGTTTTGACAAAAATGGCAATGTTGCCTTTTTGCTATTTTTGGATTAATCTCTTGTGTAATCCTCTAATGATCAGAACAAAGCTTCAATCCATTGGGTTTGCATTTAATTCTTGAGTGTGGAAGGGTTTAAGGACCTGTAATCAAGTACAAATAATGCTGGATGGAGATTGCTACTTGTATCAACATGAAAATGCCATGGATCAAAAGTGAGTTTTTGCCAAATTCAAACCTTCTATTCTCTCTAACCATAAATAATTTTGGTGAGTTCTTGGACATTTTGGAAAGCTTGTAACATGCTATAAAATCCATATTTGAAATTAATTTTGAGATTCCAAGTGGAAATAGGTGAAAAATTGCCATGAAGATAGGTCAAAATCTTGCCTAAACTAGGGCAAAATTTCACTAAGTTAAAAGTTTCATGGACCCTTGTTCCAAAAATCATAACTTGAGATCCAAGCATATTTTGAGAAAACTTTTTGAATCAAGGTTGTATATTTTGTGGAGGACTATAACTTTCATGTTGGAAGTTTTGTTTGAATCTAATTGCATCATGGTGAAAATGTTGGGCAAAGTTGGGGGAAAATAAGAAAATTTCATAACTTAGAAAAATTCTAAGTTATGAAATTTTTCAATTTTAAACCCTAATTTGCAAAATTAGGTTTCTTGATGAACAAGTTTCATGTTTTGACACATCTTGATGAAAAATGACCCTTGGCACTTGATTTTGACCAAAAAGTCAAAGTTTGACTTTTTAGTGTACAGTCAAATTTTGATCCGTTGACTGAAAAATTCATCTGTCAATCCAATGCATTTGAGATCTTTTGAACCTTGTGGATAGGTCAAGATGATGCCATTGAGTACTTGAATCTATACTTGAACCCAATTTGCCATTGGCTAGGTGAAAAATCAGAAATTGCCCTTATACAGTCAAAACCCTAAAAATGACCATTTTGCCCTTTTGATGATCTGATCAAATTTCTTGAGGAGTTGTGGTCCAAACTTGATCAAATGGTTCATGTGAGTCTATAATGTTGATGTGGATAAAAAATTATGAGGTTTGACTGTAAATTGGCCACATTTGACTTTTTCCTCAATACAGTTGATTTCTAGGTCAACTGTCCAATTGACTGGGTAAAAATTTGATTCAAGGTTTGAAACTTGGTAGAGGCAATCTTGTAAGTCCAACATGAAGTATGAAAGCCACATGGGGCATTGGAATTCCAAAATTCCTTGTGCAAACTCAAACCCTAATTTAGGTCAACAGTGCAAGGAGATGTCTTGAGGAGAGCAAAACCCTAATTCTGTCTGGAATTCAAAGAGTCTTGTGAGGAGAAATCTTGATAAAATGAGAGGGAAAATTTTGGGGCACAACAATCATACTCTGGTTTTCTTCATATATGCTGCATTATAAATAAATCTCATGACCAAAATTGGCAAAAGGGCCTCAACCAATTTTCAAAAAATAAATAGATTATTGGTGGGTATACAAACCAAATTAAACAGATATCATTAGTAATTTCAGGTGTATGCTTGGTTGATGTATTTTCTTTAGAATTTTCTTATATTAGCAGCTTTCTCGAGTAGTCTATTTATTCTTTCTTTTTTCCAGACCCACCAAAAACACCAGCTAACATAAGCGGCATGACACATGATGTAGATAGCCTCTCAGCAACAGAAGATCTTGGTCTCAAACCTATAAGAAAACTGCCAAATACAAAGCAATTATGTAAAAATTGAACACAACCTTGCTATCATTAATTTCCCCTGCAAGAAGAATTACTGCTGAATTTACAATCCAACTTCTTTTGACTTTCCATCAACCTGCAAAAACAACAAATACCTGCATTAATCGCACAATTCAACAGCAAGCAAACAATTGTTCCACTTTATCATCAGCACACACACATCACCAATAAATATTCAACAACCATCACTAACCTTCTCCATAAATCCAAAACGTAACCATAATTATGCACCTGCAATCGATGTTCGGATACACAGTCATTTGATATTCGACATAATTTAAGCGGTTTGAAACAACAGAAGCAATGTGCAACAACAAACACACTTGTAGCAGAACAACAAACAACTTTCATCAGCTCGTAGCAAACTCACGGATTCCAATATCAGTAGAAGAAGAAGAAGTTGAGTGAGAAGGAACCGTACCTACGCGCTACCACTGATAGAGCTCGACCTCACCATTTTTGTTCAGACAATTTGAAGCTTCTGATTTACCGTTTTCGTATGCGATTTGTAGATATTATGTTATTTGTGTCTGATTTATAAGGTTTAGGTCTGTTGTACGTTGTGTTTCATTTTGTTTTATGTGCCATTTCATTGAACAACACACATGCATCAATGAAAGAGAGATTCTTTGATATCAGAAGTAAATACAACCACACACTTGTAATACAAACCATACACATATTGTTTGATATACGAATTTTAACGTAAACTTAACTCATTCAAAGATATGAAGTACCTAAGCAAGGGATGATCACCTAAGAACTATCCCTTTGATATCCACATCTGTAAAAGAAAAATATGTTTTAGAATTAAATCTTTTTGGCATTACATATTTTGATGCTAATTTGTGGTTAAATAATCACCTGCTGGAAGGTGTTGTAGGATGCAAGGATCGATCCTCTGATCCAAACAACATACTTTATCTCTGTTGGAGCAACAACCTTAATCTTCATGCTTCTAGGAGCCAGGGCAGTGATATCTTTGCTCATATGATCTACAATACCGGGAAAAATAGTTAAACCACCACTAAGAACATTGTTTCCATACAAATCCTTTATTTTACCAACATCACACTTCATTATAGATTTGTTAATGGCCTCATGAACAAAATCACTTAAGGACATACCTTGTTAGCTTCAAAACTCAGCAATAAAAGTTGATTTCATGAATCTTCCAAAACACAAATAAGGAAAGAGTTACAATTGTTACCCCGTTAACAGCAAAATCAATGCCAGAAGTACCAATTGACGCAGAAAAATTAATAATGGGGTTACAATTTGAATCAACATCAGTAGTAAAATCGACATGATTATGGAGATATCGAACCTCAATCTACATAAAACAAAATACATAATCAACACAACATCAATGACTACTACGATCCATTAGGCGCATACCAAATACAAAGTAGTTCTTCAGATAATTCCTCCAAAGGGTAAAAGGGAACTTGGTGGATTTGAAGTGCTGCTCAAATTCTTGATTAAATTTACTGAAATTGTATGTGTGTCACCGTCACAGACCATAACATACTAGTTATGGAATAATGGAGACACTGATAGTGGAATGGTGAGAAATCGAATCTGAGAAAAAATAAGAAGAAGACAGATCCATAGAGAGACAAAGAGAGAAAGGATGAGAAAGAAAGGGGAAGAGAAACCTTTGTGGAATAATGGGGACATTGATAGTGGAATGCTGAGGAGGAGAAAAGATCGTGTTGTTTTGTAACCGACAGTTTTTCCGTTGTCTCACACACATGAAGCCAGGTGTCAGGATATTGGAACAAAAGGATAAAATATGGTTTTTTAGTAGAATGGATTTTCTTATATTGTAGATTAATATATATGTGTGTGTGTGTATGTGTGTGTCAAATAAACTGTTGTTTATAGATTTATTTTTATTTTGTTATTCATTTGTAATTTAAATTTCTTTAAAGAGTCAAATAAAACATTAAGGATGTGTTTGTTTCAAGAATTAAAATTTTAATCTTGAGAATGTTATTCCTCATAATATTATTACTGAGAATATTATTCTCATCTATATATTCGGTGAGTAGTTTCATTTCTTAGAAATATTTATAAAATATATTTATTTTAAATTTTAAAATAATTAATAAATAAACTAAAATATTTGATAATGAAAAGTTATAAGTGGTTGGTTCTTATTTCCATTGGAATAAAAGATTCCCACCTTATAATATGAAAATAGAAAATGACAAAACTATGTGTAAAATAAGTTCCTCTGGATAAAAAATTCCTAGACATAATTTTTTATAACTTGAAACAAACATTGACATAAAAAATATTTCAGTCTATATTCCTAGAAATAAATTTACGATCCATGAAATAAATACCTCTAAGATTGTCTGTACCTGACAATTAAACAACAAAACTAAGTTTGTATTTAAATTAATTATATTACTTTTTCTTTCCATTAATTATTTTTGTTTAAAGTCATTTACACATAGTTTAAATGGAGTGAAATTTATTTTGTAGAGTTAATTATTAGAACAAGTTTAATCTATCATATAAGAAAAGTAAATACATTTATTCACAAATTCTTTTGTCACGTGATGACCGAGAAACTTGCTCAATTTTTTGACCAAAAATCTCAAATAATTATTTCTTTTTTCATTTAATTCTTATGTCGTGACAATTTCAGCTTTTTGTTTCCACTCATATCAGTTACACGGTTTCAATCTCCATATCAGTTACATTTCAGGTCCTCCATATTTCAAATTACAAACTATTTCTGTACCTATTAATCTTTAACTATCCAATTCATCATGTGTATAATATTTATAACCCTTCATACGTATTTCTCTATATCATCTTCTTTGCACAAAATAACATGCCAGACCTGTGGAGAAAATTAGATACAATTTTTTGTAATTAGATGAAAGTGCAATTTGGTTCATTGATGTTAAATTATACACTGATAAATGTGATGATGGTATGTGATTCATTGATGTTGTTTGTTTGTTATTGTTTTGGTTTTGATGAATTTTTTGTTTTTTTTTTCTTTTGACAAGGAAAAACTGCTATCAGAGTTTCCAAATCATTTTCTTTAATAAGATGAAAAGAGAATAGATAAATTATACAAATAAGTGTGAAGATGATGGTATGTGGTTCATTGATGTGGTTTTTTTGTTATTGTTTTAGTTTTAATGAGTTTTTGTTTGTTATTGTTTTGATTTTAATGAGTTTTCTTTTTCATATCAAACTCCATTAAAAGAAAATAAGAATAATCAAAACAAATTGGTTTTCTACATTACAAATAATTCCAAACTTTTATAATATTTCTGAACTGATAAGTCTTACGGTGTGAATCACGGTATACCACCAATATATGGATCTTTATTGATTCTAAACTTTTATTAGTCTATTGAAGGAAAAAAAAGAATAAGAGTAAAATCAGAATAAATCAAATTTAATCCATTATATCTCATTATATCTAATGAATTTTTGACTTGTTTTATTATTTCTATATATGTTACAAATCACAAAGAGAACATAATCACAATTTGATAATTAATAGATTATATATTTAGTTAAATTCAAAATATGATAAATTTCTACCAATCTTGATGAGCAGGATTAATATCACCACACAATGACAATGAATTATTTTGGAAAATTTTATTATTCAGTTGCAAATGCAAATTCTGTGAATACAATGAATTGATTTGATTGACAAGCCAAAAACTATAAAAGTCCAAAATATCTATTTTGGAACTAAATCAAATCTATTTTATTTTATATCTAAATCAAATCTATCTAAATCTAAAATCAAATCTATGTGCAGTATCTTCGGCACACCATGTTTCGACACTCTTTTTTTTGTCGAACAAACCATTTCGACACAAGGAATTACTTTCAACATTATAGAGGTGTAGAATTGATTCTAAGTGATTTTAAGATGTTTGATTTGACAAAAGTAGAATTGATTCTGCCTCTAGAATTGATTATACTTGAAGTTAGGATTTGTAGCTTCTGCCTCCAGAATTGATTCTGAGTGATTTTTACACTGAAATTTATTATTCAATTCACTTTTACATAAAATATCCTAACATAAATCAATTCTCATAAACTCAATTATAATAAAATCAATTCTACCAAACTCAATTATACTAGAATCAATTATGTTCCCCGTCAATCCAAACACACTCCTTTACTTATTCTTTTGGCTTTGTATATTGAATAAACAATATAACATTAAGCTGACACTACATTCTATAGAATATAATTAATTTAATCTTTTAATATGTAATTGTTGCTGTGAAATAGTTGCTAATATACAAATGACTAATATACAATTGAGTTTAATAATAACTTAGTAATATTTGGTGTCATGAAATTGATATCAGACTTTGTATTTATTATTTATGTTGAATTCTCTCAAACTAAAATTTATTAGATATCGCACAAAAATTTTTATCAAATAATATAGATCATCTATTGGTATATAATACATTGTTTAAAATATTTTTAAAGAAAATAATTGCTACTTATATACTCTTAAGTCTAATTCCAAACTTAAATCCTTTACTTGCGTAATTTAATTTTTTATATTGTCATTACTTCTATTGACTAAAAAATTATTATACTAATTATTTTTTAAATTTAAAATAATGCACATTTTACATATAAATAATATATTATACTTGAATATAATTTAGTTAGTATGCATATTGTTAAATGATATAAATAAATAAAAATTTATTCAAAATATTCAACTACTTCTCACAAAATAAATATTGTAAAAATATTTTACAAATATGGGGGAAAATGGAAGATGCTAGAGACATTATCTAGAATAATCGTCATCCCACAAAATAGAAGATTAAAGAAAAACGTCTCTTTATACTATCGTTCAGTTAAAATGAATAAATAAAAACATCTTAAAATAACTTCTTCATAATCTAAGTAGTATTTGTGGGAAAATCGAGGCCTTGATGGTCATTTTGAACCATATTTTCCCTATTATCAACAAAAAGAAAATGATCGCCGTGAGTTACGAATGTCCTAGAAAGTCAATATGTTGCTTATCTTCCTTGTCGTTGGGCAAGAACAACCCACCTGATCACCCCTATACGCCTCAACAAACTCTGGATCCACCCTGGACAATTCTAGAAAGGGGGAGTCATGGCCAATTTCCTTTATCTCGACACGAAACAATTTCACTCTTCCACCCTCTCCTACATGGCCCTTGAACTTCTATAAGAATGAGGATTCGTGGGCTCATTACCACTATTGATAGAACACCGTTTGGACTCAAACTATCACTTAGAACGATAAGGTTTGGAGGGGGCTGAGTAATTGTCAAAGGAGAAACGTCAAACACCTTACGATGAGGCGTCACTTATATTATCACCAATAGTTATATCTATAAAGTTTGTTGTTCAATCTCCTAAAAAGGTTGCCTAACTTCCTTGTCGTTTGACAAGAACGACCCACCTGATCACCCCTATACGCCTCAACAAACTCTGGATCCACCCTGGACAATTCTGGAAAGGGGGAGTCATGGCCAATTTCCCTTATCTCGACACAGAACAATTTCACCCTTCCAACCTCTCCTACATGGCCCTTGAACTTTTATAAGAATGAGGATTCATGGGCTCATTACCACTCTTGATAAAACCCGTTTGGACTCAAAACTATCACTAAGAACAATAAGGTTTGCAAGGGGTTGAGTAATTGTTAAAGGAGAAACGTTAAACACCTTACAATGAGGCGTCACTTATATTATCACCACTAGTTATATCTATAAAGTATGTTGTTCAATCTCCTAGGTTGACCATTTATAAGAGGAAAAAGTAAAAAATCAATTATAATAAATGAGATAAATAAAAGTGGTACCTTAAAAAATTAAAGAAATGAAGGCGGAACAACGACGAAGGAACCGCCTAGAGACTCGAAAGACCAAGATGAGTCGCAAAATCTGGAAGAGAAATAGAGGGACTAGATGCAGTTTCGCAGGAGTTCAGAGAAGGAGAATCAGAATAGGTGAAAAATATAAATGATTTAAGATGGAAAAGCGAAAATATAACTTGCAAGGTAAAACAACCTTTATATAGTTGAGTAATGTAGGTAAATCCATGATCTAAACAGAAGGAAGTTAGGCAAAC